CATCTTACACGATGCCATATTAAGCAACTGTTTACTTAGGGCTACTTGTGCCAGCTCTCTAATAATTTCCTTTTTTGGCGTATTCAATTCCCTCAAATGATTTAGTTGTTTGAATTGATGCGTTTTAAATTCTTACTTCATAAACTTGTGCAAAATATAGTGGCCATTTCCTTGCCGCCTCAATAACAGCGACCTTGATATCAAGTGGAATCTCAGATTGTCGGTTAAGCATATCTGGCGGGACGTTGCTAGCCTCTGGAATAAGATCACGGTGCTAATGGTTAGACCGTACATAGAGAGGAACAATGCACTTACTTAGGATTTCGACAACTTGATCTCTATCATATGATCGGATCCGGTAAGCGATTCCCTTACGACAGTCAGAAATTATTTGTGCAAATACTTGGTTAATAACTTGCACGTCGTCTAGATTTTCTTTCGGATGGAACATCTGAATCAGCTAATTTATCATTGCATCTCCATAAATGTCTACTATCTTTATTCTTTGAACACAAAGCCAACATTTGGTTTGCTACCATACTATTTTTTGCGAAAAGTCTGATTATGTGGACAAATAGAGCCTTCAAAAGTATGAATCGTAAAAGAACTGCTAGTAAAGTGCAAGCAAATATTTTAATGGAGGCAAATGCGATAGCATTTGTTTTTTTTCATGTTTTTTCTTCATATAAGTGCGGTCTATATATTAATGATGCTATAATATTCATCTGATATGAACTTATTCATTTAGTTAAACCGCAGATTTTGTTGATTTGAGCTGACTATTGCCATTAAGTCTCACCTCCTTTCTTATTGTTAGCTTCCATGGCTGTTTAACATATCTTACTGCTGGTTTCTCATTCGACGCCACGGAATCAGTATCACTTGGCGTTTGCACGGGCTGCTGCAAGGGTTGTTGTACGAGTTGTTGAATCGGTTGTTGCACGTACTGGGCTAAATTATTTTGACATAGTCGCGTCGAGGTATGTTTCAAATGCAAATCTATTCATTAAATTTGCCTACCAGTATTGGATGTTGAGCGTACTCGTTCCACAGTTTCCACTGGTCTTTCCACTTCCCCCTCAAATATCCATTTGTTCTGTGGCTCTTCTTTCTGTAATAACATGTAGAAGCGCGCAAATTCAGAACAGCCTTATTACAAAATTACAGCACTTCGGAGTACTATGTAGTTTGAGAGGCTAGTATGACTTTTCTGGATGAAAAACATTGTTGATAAGATGTTATTTGCTTGTTGATGTAAAGCAGAATACGTTAGTTTACTAGTGTGCAAGCGTTTATAAATCAAGAAAGACATGAATTACGAAGTAGTTAACTATAGAACAACGTAATTAATGTAGAAAATGGTAGTAGTGCCGATTTTATATATATTAAACAGCAAATAGGAAAGTAGACACCGACAGTAGACTTTGTCTTGGTTAAAAGCAATGTATTAAACAAGCTTCTGATAAAGGCAAACCATGAAAAAAATTACCTCATTATCGATTTTGAAAATGTACATACATGTGAGCGTTTAACAGCAAAGGACTACATGTAGTGTAATTAGTAGGTAAAGTCAAGAAAACTTACTTCGACAACGACATAATCTGGCTCAAAGACAACTTGTGGAGGTTCATCAGGCAGTTTAGCAAATGCCTCTGTAGTCGTTACCGGTTTCTTTCGTCTTGGTATGTAAATTCGTACCTCATCCACTGGCGGAGGAAGATTCTGTTAGTGAAAAGTACGTTAGTGTAACTTGTTAGTCACATATTGTTAAAACAATTTTACAACATAGCAGAGATTGTTAGTGGAACAAAAACATAGTATTTACATTGAAACTTTGTAATCGTAGATTAACACTACGTTTACTAAGAGTGCCATGTAACAAAATAGAATCCGGAACAACAAAGCTTTTAAGTTTCAGAAAAAAGATAAGCAAGAGACACGAAATGAATTCCAAATCAAAATTGTCTGACAAAGCCAGCCGCCTCACCTTCATGCGCTCATTTATCTTCCGAAGTGCTTCTTGCTCCTTCTCATGGATCTCCTTCACCAAATTCATCCCCGAGCCTTTTAGCTTTCGAGGGTTTGGATGTTCAGAGTTGATGATTGTATTCTGCACGACGGGCTCTCGATAGGCATCTTGAGGAAGGCGAGTGAGACCCTTAAAAGAGGATCTTTATTTTGAAAAAAATATTGGAAGAGGTATTGACTGTTCTACATTGAGTTTACGATCTGGAGCTGGTGACTTCAGTGGAGAAGGGGACCTCGGTAGCGGCCGTGGTATGGCACCCCTGTCCTCAGGCCTGAACAAGAGCAAAGTGCCAAATTGTTGGTAGCCAATGGAAGACGTTACTAAATACCTCAGCATCGACCTGGATTGCTCGAAACTTTGATTTCTTGAACGAAAATCGGTTGATGAACTCTGTAAAGTAAAGTAAATAAAAAAGGATGTTGTTTGTGTGAAATAAGAAAAGAACAATCAGATAAAACTGTCAGATAAAGTTGCAAGTTCGGAATCAATATGCAAACATCATCCCAAACAGAGGGTTGTCGGCGTGGACCGAGTTTGGGTGATAACACTGGCAGATCGAAGAGCCATCAGCGGCGCTGCGGTTCGTGCTAACATCGTCTTATCTACAGGGAATTGCTCGGCGATGCTCGGACCGTTAAGGTGTAGTTCTGGCTGCTCGATGTTTCAGTTATCTTTTGGCAGAGTTTCAATGTGTTTTTATGGGCTACGAAAGAAAAGGAAATTCTTTGAGGAGGAAAATTTGGAAATCCTACATTTATTATGTAAGGCTCTA